AAGCAGGGCGAGGCGGAGGGGCGGGGCGGGGCCCGAGGGGCCGTAAGAGGGCTTTGGCCCAAAGCGTTCCACCACTACAACCAGCCGCCCCGCCCCGCCCGGCCACGCCCGGCCCCACCCTGGAGGGGCTGATGAACAACAATCTAAAGGGGAGTGCTTAGGAGAGTCCTCACCGAGAGAGATAACTCGACTCGGGAGCGGCGGAGCGCAGCGTGGCGTGGAGGAGAGGAGGGGGGCGAGCCGGAGAGACGGGGCGGTACCCTCGAGGGCCCTGGGCTGGTACGAGACGAGACCCGACCACGGCGCCTGGGCCTAGCTTGGGCCCCCACACAGGGCCCCCTTACACAGAGCCCGCCAGGAGCAGGAGGGACAGGGCAGGGGCCCCTGGCCCCTGTACACAGGGCCCCTACACGGGCACACGGGTCCGCACCAGGAGGGCCCCTACGCAGAGCGCGCCCGCCGGGTGGGCCTACCCGCAAGACAGCGGTGTCGTGGCGCTGCCTACCCACTCCCACGCAGGCGCTCGGCCCGCCACGCCCCGCCACGCCCCGCCACGCCCCCGCGCAGCGCCACGCCCCCGCGCAGCGCCACGGCAGCCCAGCCCGGGCGAGCGGGCGGGGCGGGCCGCTCCTTGGACCGCACCCTCACGGGCGCCATGCGTGCTAGGGGGTCGGGGGCGGGGACCACACGCGTCCTCCTCCCGCCAACCAGCGCCGTCGAAGTGTCGGACTGGCGACTGGCCGGTCCGCGGTCTATGCAAGTGTGACGGCCAGAAGGGCACATTTTGTCGGAACTCGCAGCCGCGTTTGCTGTGTGACCGTGCCGCCCGTGTGCTCCGGGTTCGGGTGAGTTGTGCAGGCCTTCGCTGCAAGGGCGGCCGCCGCGTTGTGACCCCCGTCAGACCGTGAATGAAATCAGTGCAGCACTTGTTTACGGCTCCGAGCCCGAGCCGCAGCAGCAGCAGCAGCAGCAGCAGCAGGAGGACGGGCGGAGAGGAGGAGGGAGCGACTCGACCCGACCGGGGGCCTGCTTGGTAATGAATGGCAAAGTGTTCCGGACGGACGCAAAGGAAGAGCCTGGCGGGGCCTGGCAGGGCCTGGCGGGGCGTGGCGGAGCCGGGCGGGGCCGGGCGGGGCGGGGACCCCCAGCCGGGCGGTAAAGCTTTTGGGCTGAGATATAGCCAGGGCGGGGCGCGGCGCGGCCACGGGGCCCAAGCGGTCCCAGGTGTGTGTATCTACGCACGACCCACATAAATATTGGCTAATTAAAGTGACTGTGGTCTTCTTCTTCTTCTTCTTCTTCTTCTTCTCCTCACCCTCCTGCCCTCCTCTCACAATCTCCCCATCTCATCCCCCCTTCCTCCTTTGCATCAGGTGGGACAGTATGGATGGATCGAGATGGATTCAGTTTTCGAAGAGTTGCCGCCCTTCTGGCGACAGCGCGCCATAGCCCCCCGAGCGGCGGTACCACGGCACCAGCAGTGCAGTGACACATCACCTGATGCCGAGTCGGCCAAGTCGTTGGGAGAGAGAGATGAGCGGCCTTGATCGAAACAACAACGCCAACAGCAGCAACAACAACATCGGCGAGAGAAAAGAAAGTTTACGGAAAGAGACTTGTGCACTGTGCGTTAACCCCCCCCCCCCCAGAAAGTTTCAACCACGTTTTTCGTTTGTCTTTTTTTGTGTGTGTATTTTTCCTCATGGCACTACAAGTGTGTGTTTTGTGCGTGCGGGGCGAAGAGGGGAGGGGGGCGTAAGTGACCGCGCAGACTACAACTGCCTTTCTCCTATCGCCCCTCCGCCGCCACACGATCAGCAGCGATCCCTTCGGCTCATGACATTGCACGCGCGCCGCGATCCGATTTTACATCCTGTCGAACATCTCCGTCGTGTCGCGCGGGGCGCCGTGTCACAAGGCGGTGCGGTGAAGTGGAGTGGAGCCAAGTGGAGCCGCGGTGGCAGTGGCGGTGGCAGTGGCGGAGTCGCAACGGAGTGAAGTGGCTCATCAAGAGTCGGTAATGAAATCACTGCCTCATCGCCACACGTCCCGGTCGGTGCCGCCGCCGCCGGAGCGCTGTCGGCGCGTCACCTCACCACGCCACGCCACGCCGCGCCTCTCCGCGCCTGTCCCGGATTGGATTTGTGGCGTCTCGGATAGAAACGACGTTACTTGACATCGGCACATGATATCCAGCGCGCGCGACGGTGGTGGTGGTGGTGCAGAGCCGTCAGCTTCGTTGCCACGCAAAGGAAAGAGGGGAGAAGGGTGGGAGTATATCAGTATCGAGAGTCTCTCACTTCTCAGTAGTAGATTATTAACGACAGAAAAGTTTCACTTTTTATTTTCACTTCGTTATATCGAATGCCCATGGCTTTACAGGTTGAAAGAAGCAGGTTTTCTCTCCATCGTCCGCTACACAAATACAAGTGTGTGCTGCCTGCTATGTCCAATTTAACTGTCATTGAAGTGCGAGTGGGTACAGTCCACGCCCATGGGAGAAGAGAGACAACAAACAAACAGAGCACCGGGTCAGGTCGCGCCGCGCCGGCGCCTACCCGCACTTTGTAGTGATTGGATGCCATGTGCATTTATTTGTAGAGTAGGTACACTGCTGTACTCGTTTGCGGGGAGCCTGTCGGATGTTCCCACCCCCGCCCACTGCTGTCAAATATTTTCACACCAAGATATCTTCCGCGGCGAACAGCTCTTGCCGGTCCCCGGCGACGCCCCCGCTCCCGCTGGGCTGCGGGCTGCTCGGGGCTGCTGCTGGGACCCTTGCACTTTTTTTCCCACCCCCTTTTCTGCCAAGATGGCCCCACATTTCGTGGCGACACGTGACTTATCAGTGATCGGGGGTGTTCCAGAAAGGGGCCAGCGCCCGCCCCGCCCCGTCCCGCCACACGCCATGAGGCAGGGCGCGCGCCCTGTTCGCAGCCGATCTATCTCTCCCGCCAGCCCATGCCTAGGCCCAGCCCAGCCCGCTCCGACCCGACCGAAGCCGCGCGCTTTTGCGGTGTGGCGAAGGTTTGCCGCGCTGACAATCTTTAGCCTTTTTGCACGATTTTTCTTTCCGCGGGCGCGGCTCGGCGGTGGGGGCGTACTGCTGCTGCTTCTGCGCTTCAAAGAATCGGAGGATAAGAGACGTGTTAAATTTCGTCAGCAGCTGTGACCCCCCCCTCTCCACCCCCAGTGCTCTCACTCTCCCTTTCCCTCGCAGTTAATATGGAGGCTCTGTTTTCAAGCACTCATTTCGGGCTTGAAGCAAATGTGATAATTTCCAAGCACAAATTGGGCTCTGCCCGGAACCTAATCCAAACGGCTGGGAACGGGAGAGCAAACCGCATTCTGCTTGGAAATTGTCGCCTTGACTTTGGAGCAACAACCCGTCTGCTTAAAAACCAGCTCCGAGCCTCGCCTCGACGTGTTGCATTTGAGCAAACCACCCTATGGGGACTTTCGCTGTCCCGTCCCGTCTCCCGCAGCCAGAGCAAAATAAAAATAATAGGGGGTGAACTCCCCCCCCTTTTTTTGGAACGTGGAATGACGTGGTGGGTCGTACCGGGCGCCGGGGCGGGCGCCTCATCGCGATAGGCGTGCGGCTTCCCCGCTGCAAACAAGATAAACTCACCGTTTAATGTCATTAAGCCCGGGCACCCTAAATGATGTTTACACTCGGCGCCCTAAACTATTCATTCGCGCCCCTCTTCCTTTTTTTCCCACCCCCTCGCCTACTCCTTTTCTTTCTCTCTTTCTCTGTCTTGCGCTCTTCCCCTCAGTCTCTCTCTCTCTCTCTCTCTCTCGTTTTCTCTTTTTTTTTATTGTTCTCCTTGGGCCAGACTTATCTCTGCTGCGGCGCGGCACAGGTGTGCAGAAGGGGTATAGGCGGTGGAGGAGGGGGGGAGGGAGGGTTTCGGCTCTGCATTTTCGCAGGGCGATTTGCTCAGCTTGCCGCTGCTGGCGCCCCCCGGGTGGCGCTCTCCTCCGGCGGCGGCGGCGTTCCCCGGGCGTTCCTCGGGCGTTCCTCGGGCGTGCCGGCGCCAGCTCATATAGCAGAGCGCTGCGCCGTTAAAGGGTTACGACCAGGGCAGGTGCCGCCGGGCCGGGCCACGCACGCTCCCCGCATCTTGAGCGTGCGCCGGGGCGATAGGCAACCCCTCGCACAGCGGCTTGCCCCGGGAGACCAGGGAGACGAATGGGTTGCCTATCGGTCGGGCGATATCGTTGGAAAAGAACCGTGCGTTCGTAATTTTGTGTAGAGAATGAAAAAAAAAACTATTTCGATACCCTCGAAGGGTGACGAATGGTGTTTTATGAATTGGAAGTCGTCATACGGGAAAACTGGCATCATGACCTGCCTACATTAACCGTTTGTCTGCAACGGATCAAGAAGAAGGAAAGAAGAAGTTTGTGTCACGAACATGGCGGCCGGCCCATGTATTCTTATGGGACGGTCGCCATGTTCGTGACACAAACTTCTTCTTTTCTTCTTCTTGATCCGTTGCAGACAAACGGTTAATGGGGGAAATTATGCGATCAGGTATTGTAGTGGCGGTGGATGATGGATGGGGATGGGCTGGGGGTGAGCCTTGGGATTTCTCTACATTTTTGATCCATTTCGATCTAAATGACGCAATTTGTCCGATTGTAATGTTGTGTTTGTTTAAGTGTGCAATCTGTTTACGGTTCAGAGAATAACCTCTCCCTCTAGTTTCAGAGAAAAAGTCAGAATATTTCAGCATTTTTCGAGAGAATCTTGTTCTGAAAACTCTTCAAAATCATACCATAGGCACGAATTACACCTATGGCCCGCATATTATCAACGAACCCTTTCCCCACTGGATTCGAATCAGTTTGTATTCACGCGCCAGTAAGAAGCGCCTGAGACACGCTGCTCTCTGTCGGAGAAAAGTCGAACCAGTCCACAAGAGTATGGTCTCTTCACGCAAGGGGTATCGCCACCGCCACAGCACAAGACTAGACGATGATCCCGTGACGTCATTGGCTGTCGTTATTCGCAGACCGACGGACGACGGACGGGACGGACGCTCCTCGTGTTTACTTTTTTATGTGGCTGTTTTTCTAATCTTAGAAATGGGAAGGAAAATACCTGTTAGAAAGCACAAAGGTGTCAACGATCCTGAAAAGCAGAAACGAGTAAGAGATGCGAAGTAAGTACTGAATCGTCTTAGCGTATATACTTATTTCCGATTCTTAGTTATCTCATGAGAAGTTAACCTCCAAACTCACATTGTGTCGTTGTGGAATCGCTATATCCTTATTTTAATTTTGCTCTTCTTTGTTTTTGTTAATTTTCAGAGTCAAAAATCTCATAAATAATCCTCCCTCTGCCAATGATGATAGTGAGCCACTTCCTAAAAGTCTCCAAGAAATCATGCGACTTCGTCAAATGGTGAAAGAGGGGAAGTTTAATAACAAAAAGAAGCGTAAAAACAAGAAGAAGAAAGATGTTCAGTTAAATGTGGAAGGCAAGCCTCTTCTAGATTCTAGTAATTTTATTGGACCACCCGATGTTAAGCAGTCAGGAATGAAACGACCAGAGAAACCTATACCAACCATCCAGCAGCGGGCAGGAGAGAAGGATAGAACCTTTCTGTATAGAGTGCAACAACTTTGTGAGGTGAACAACTACTAACTTTTATACTATTGTTATTGGTATTCCCTACCTCTGAATTGCTTGTATTAATTCTCCTGTTTGTTGACTCTTCAGGATGTTATTAAAGAAGTGAAGTTTGAGAAGAAGTACAAAGTTGATGTTGTGCGGAATGAAGAGACTGGACAGATTGAAAATCTTCAAAAGAAAAAGAAGGATGATGTGGATGAAATGTTAAAGGCAGAAGGTAAGCAGACACTCCTCTTATGACTATTCAGATTGTATTAGTATGTACTGCACTCTGCTTTTCTTACCGTTTTTTCCTTGTTCCAAATTAGCTAAGAAAGCCAGAGATGCTGCAAACCCGAAGAAAAGGAGAAAATCTAAGAAAAAGGAAGCTGAGGAAGCTGCTGCTAAAGAGGAGAAATTAAGGAAAAGAAAAGACAGAAGAAAGATAAAACGAGAAAAAGTGAAGCAGAAAGTATTAGCTAAAAATGAGGATAAGATAGGAAATATAATTCGGGAAACAGTGAAATTTGGGGATGTAGCAGATCGACCTCCAGAAATCAAAGTGAAACCAAGAAAGGCAATTGCTGACCGGGTAAGATTATTTTGTTTCTTCTACTCTTTGTTGGAGTGTTGCCAATAATAATATCACACTAAAACTCTGCTTTTATTTTCAGAATGTTGCAAATCTAATGTTTAATCAAATGATAATAAACGGAAAGGCCTTAGAAAAAGAAATGAAAGAAAAACACCAAGATCTAAAATCACAAAATGGTAAACCTTTATCAAAGCCTTCACTTAAAGGAAAACGGAAAGACTTGCCTGTTGCTCAAAGACTTATGCTTGAAGAGCAACAAAAATCTGTCATAGCTGCTTACAGATTAATGAAGGCTAAGAAAGAAAAGCTAAAAGCAACTGTTTAGTAGAAAAAATATTTCATCAATAAATTATTTCTTTAATTACGTCTTCTAGGTCTTGACAATTATTCCTTTATCAACTCCTGGATGTTTTGCCATGACTGATTTGAGCTGAATCAAGGATGGTAATTTTGTCCATTCCCACTGGAATTGTTTGGCGTGGACAAGTGACTCGGTCAACGCCGTCAAGTTATCTCGACTCGACGTGGTACTTCCCGTCCGTCCCGGTCCCGTCGCACCTCGAGATGCAGTGGGCCGGTCGTCGGTACTTGACGTCAAGTGGGCTTAAATGCATCACCATGAGCTAAGGTACAAGTAGTATTGACATGTCCCTGGAAAGCCGAAATTATTGGCTATAAGCTAAAAAGAGTTGGATTCCGAGCGTTGTCGCGCTTTCGGCACACACGCGAGGAAAGTTCTAAATCCGTTTATAAGCCCCAGTAGTAGCGCCAAACGCATTAAATGCGCACCAATGCGCGTAGGAATGCACATGAAAGGTGACATTGGTGACACTTATAAAGCGCTTTATAGCATTTAATGCGCATTTAGTGCGCATTGCGCGCATTAATGCGTCACCTTTTATCGCCTTTTCAATTTCAATGCGCATTGAAGGTTGAAGCGCATTGGTGCTTCCCCAGTGAGAAATGGGTGTTCTAATCGACGTCGACTGCTCGAGAAGTTATCGTTTGTCCTGAGACGAAATGGTCGACGAAATTTCGATGTTACTCGAGAAGTGCCCGATGACACGGCTTAACTCAGCTAATGGGTCTTAAAGTCTTACAGAACGGTTCCTGGTAATAAATTGCAGGAAATTTCGTATTGTACACGTTCGATGTCGATTCGACGTCGATTCGAGCAATTCGAGACGGTCTTCCACTGACTGTACAGTTAGCCCTCGCTGGTGACCCGCACCCACAACGCCAAATCAACTAAAGGCTGAAGACGTGTATGTTGAAGCGGCGGAAGTTTTCGTCACGGACTGACTTCATTTCTAGCAGGACCTGTTGAAGGCGATGCCGACGCGTGTGCCCACGGTCACCAACAGTCGTTAATGGACCAAGCTCAACCGTTGAAATCTGTACCTTTAGTCCTTTTTCAAAGCATAGAAAGAGTCGATGTCGAAAAGAACGTCGAATTGCGGGACAAAATCCCGTCGATTCGACATTTGGAATCGACAATTTTTCCGACCGGCCTACTCGACGTTGATTCAAGGTCGATTCGACCACTGATTTCTCACTGGGTTCTGTCTGGGGCTGCGCCCCTGTCACCTCTAAAGTGCATTTCTACGCGAATTTTCAATGCACTTGGCGGTCGGGGCTGTGTGGCCTTCGGTCAGAGAACTTTGCCACTGATGGTTGCCACCAGACACACGTGCTTGAGTTCGAGTGACGTCCGGGGGACGTTCTGGCCGCCTAACGTATGTCCATGCCTCCGCGTCCGCCCCCCACAGTCGAAACCACACCGGCGCCGAACCCACTAAGTGGAGCGGCCCAACCCCTGCTGGCTTGTCTTAGGAAAACTTTTTCTCACTGGAGGTGAAACGTGACGAATTCGCGACCAAAGCGTTATCGGCCCCAGACGCGCCCATAGCGGTATTGACCCGTAATAAAAAGTAGCACATTTCTTTCAGCGCATTAATGTGTTCCCTTAATGCGCATTAAATGTGGCAATGCACATTTATGGCGCTACTAAAAGGTCGGGGTCCCCCGGTAGCGCCGCATCTGGTAAGGCGCATTAAAATTCGCATGCGGGCCGCATTTTATGCGCATTACTGCATTAAATGAGCATGAAATGCACGTAATGCGCATGCATAAAATGCGGAACGCGCATTGCCGCAGATAATGCGCATTTAAGCAGGTTTAAGTGCATTGGCGCTACTGGGGTGGATCCGGTCCGGCCAGACGGAAGGGAGTGACCATAGCGAACTAAGCTGATGGTAGAACATCCAAATTTTTCTTTTTGATGAGACGTTTCGATGTGCTCCGCAAAGGGGGGTGGGTCCACACCTGTTTAACTCGCACCATCTTAGATTATCGATCGGAATTACATGAAATGCACGAATTTCGCACCTACAGAGATTCACGAGTATGACTACGACCAGTGCGGGAGAACCCGTGTGGCACTGGCGGGTGTCTATCCGGCCGGCCGATCAGCCCCATCCCCTCGGTCCACTCACTCCTCGCGGTCTTTTGTGGAGCAGCGTATCCGCACCAATCTTTCTCCAGACCAGACCGTGTTGGCTGGCTATTTTGATTGATAACTAACACGTGTTGGAGGTTCACTCCTCCTCGGCCCGTTTCCCATACGATGCTGCCGCGGCACGTTCCCAGAGCTCTCGGTCGTCATTAGGCTGGCCGGGGAGTCATCCCTGCGGATTTCGCGACGAACGATGGGTTTTTCATACGTGTGGCGCTGACATTGGTCACGTATCCGCACTTTTTGGAGTGGAATTTATAAAGTCCCCAGATTCTGACGTGAAAGGTATGAAGAGCCCGGGCCTATTATAGTCCCGGCCCAGCGCCTATCATTGCTCTTTTTATTACGCGTATTACCTACCAATTACATGCATGCGCTAAACGCAGTGGGCGCTACTACCCCGGTGCATGTGGCTATACGGATATGAGCCCGAACGTAGTTGAGCCCGGAACCACTGTAGGCCCGACCAATGCCCGATATACAGGGTGTGGTCCATAGACCCCTTCCTTTATTTTCCTTATACTGTACCGGATGCAGGCGGTCGGGTGGGTTGCATACTCGCACGGGGCCATACGGCGTCGTGGGGAGCGGCGATAGGCAAGCCCGCCCCGTACGCCTGCATGCGGTACAGTATAAGCAAAATCGAGCAAAATAAAGGAAGGGGTCGGTGGACCACCCTGTATAATCCTAGTTCTGAGTCTGCCTCGTCACGTAAGCTTTGGTCCTGGCTACGTCCAGGCTCATATCACCCCTCTGCTTGGGCCCACAGTGGTTCGGGCTCAACTCCGGGCGGGCTCATGCCCGTACACAGCCTCGCATGCGCCTCGATGCACGTAGAACTGCACATAGAAGCTAGGTGACTCACGTCTCCAATGTATCACCCACTTGCATTTTTACCTTCAATCCTCTATGCGTGTGGCGCTTCTGGGGTGGGGATGGACGAGATCAGTCGGCGGCACGGGCCAGCCCGGTCGGCTTTTGCACCGTTCTGCTGCGTCAGCGAAACGGAGGGTCACGAAACCGACCTAATTGTAAGCCGCGAAAAGTCTATTCAAGTAGGTCGGCTCTGCCCGGCCGGTGGCATCGCCGTCATCAGGACTGCTCACGTGAGCTTAAGTCCACACGTACAGAGAGCCCAGTGCATCGAATGCGCGCTCCAAGGCCATTGAAATGCACATTGATATGCGCGCAATGCACACGAAATGCGCATTTAATACTTTGATCGCTTTGATGCGCTTTTAAAACATCTCCAATGCGCTTCAGTGTGTCATCTTCGGTCATCTTTAGTGTGCTTGCATTGAATCGTACTGCGCACTATCGTACCCCCGTAAAGCCTCTAATGTGCATTTAGGTAATATATTCATGGAGCATTTAATGCAGCCGGAAATGTGTTACTTTTTATACACCAAATGCTCTAGGCGCTACTGGGGCAGTTGCAGTGCATATGTACCCACCGAACACCCGAGTGTGGGCGGGTTGCCTGTTCGCTAGGGACTAATAAAACATTCCGGTAAAGCTGAAATGCAGAAGAATGCGGGGAAGAAGAAAACGGAAATCGCTATGATTTAACGTGGTGACTTCCGTTTTCCTGTGCCGTGCAATTCTTCTGCATTTCAGCTTTACCGGAATGCTTTATTGGCTCTGCACGGAGAGAAAAGTATGCCGAAACCAGCCGTCTGATGCGTGGATTCCGCATACAAGATACTTGGTTTTCCAACAAGTATATGACGGCTGCTGTATGCATTGAATGCGTGGGTCAAGCATATGGCACTTCATGCAAGCATTCACCAAGTGCCTAGATCTCGCACTGATGCGTAGATCTCGCATCTGATGCCAGATTCAAAGATACTTTTTCAGAGCCACCACGCATTGGTGCATTTGCCAAATCACGCATCATTTTATGCTTGAATCAGCTAAACTTTTTTCTCGGTGTGCTGCAGTGGACTTATTGACCTGGTGTATGGGATCGATCGGTAGGCAATTTCACTCGCCCACGGGGTTTTGTATGTGAAATGAAAATATCTCTTTCCTGGCTGGCTTCACCCGGTCTGGTAAAGGCAGGTAAAGGACGTTGCCTGGCCGCTACCATTCCATCATGTACATCATGTACACTTTATTTAAAGTGTACAATGTACATTGGATTGACAAAGTAGCGACAGCCCGGGGGAGCCCGGAATGACGATTATTGAGTTGGTCGCAGCTTAAGTGGGCCCGCAATTTGAGCAGTACTTGGAAAAGTAGCATTAAATTGACCCTCTTTCGCATACTACTTTCGGCAAGACGAGCTCACTGTGGGCATTACCAGGTTCCGAGGTACGTACGATTCGCCCTCGCCCCCACTCACTTCTCCACAACCACACTCCCGTGCTCCCCCTTTTACATCCCCCTCTTTCTCTCTCTCTTTCTCGCAGTCTTCTGTCGCTGTCTCTTTCGCTCTCTTTCTGGATGTCTCTTTAGCTCCCCTCCCCCCCCCCTCTCATTGTCTCTTCATCTCCCCTCCCCCTCTCTTCCTACTTTGTCTCCCCCCCCCTCTCTGTCTCCCTTCTCTCACTCCCGCACAAGACACCACGGGGCGGCACCAGGAGTGCGAGTGCGAGTGAGACGGAGCGAGCCTGGCGCGGCGGGCGACACTTTGACCGGCCGGCCCGGGCCACTCTCCCCCCTCCACCCCCAAACCCCCGCGGAGAGGCTCACGGGCCGCTATGCCCCGGCTATGCCCCACGACACGGTCCAGACGTCGTCCCAGTCGGCCGCCAGGAGGAAGGGTGTGCAGTGTCCGTGAGAGCGCAGCGCAGCGCCGGTGTCGCGAGTGCAGAGAGCCGTAGAGTGCCGTGAGTGCGCGTCCGATCGGGG